ATTCTTTTCTATCGAATTTTAAGAACGCAAAATAAAATAAAATAAATAATGAAAGAAGAAAACTCGATTGCAAATGTCCGGTTCGATGCATTTGTTTGTTGTTTATGTGCGTGTACGCGCCCGCGCGCCCTCGCGCTCGCGTTTGTTTGTGTGTGTGTGTGGTCCTTTCACGTTTTTTTTTTTATTTTTTCACCTCTCGACTTCGAATTCGAATTATAAAAATATTTTCTAATGAATTTTCTTTATTATTATTATTATTATTATTATTATGTTAATTTAATAACAATAATTATTATTTATTGAAAAAAAAGGATTTACTTAACCTTCTTCATTTTCACTCAAAAAAAAATTTTTTTTTGTTTCCCCCGTAGTAAGAAACGTAAAAAAATAAAACAAAAAAAAATCATTTTATAAATATTTATATTTTATTATTATTATTATTATTATGTACTTTAACGTGACACGAGAACAAATCTCTTACCACGCTTAAATTATTATTATTATTATTATTATTATTATTATTATTTAATTGCATCGTATAAATAAATAATGATTAATAAAAAAATTTATTTATTTTTTTTTTTTTTGTATTTCGACGACGGCGAAATAAAATCATTATCATCATTATTATTATTATTATCATCATTCCCGTAACACTTTTTTTTCTTATAATAATAATAATAATAATAATAATTTATCGTTTTGTGTGTAAAGCATAAATATTCTGACACGTTTTTGATTTATTTCATATTCGGGAAAAGTTTTTAATAAATTAGTTGGAAAATATTAATTTTCATTTGGAAAAACATTTTTGGAAAATTACATTAAAACCATTTGAACTTTACTTACGGAAGCGAGAAGGAGAAATGAGGGGTAGACGTGAAGGAGGGGGAGGGGAGGTAAGGGGAGGAAAAGGAAAAAAAAATTTAAGTGCGTAAATACGTAAATAATAAAATTATGAGAATGCCCCGTGAAAAATAATAGTAACATCGTTTTCATCATCGCCATTAACACCATTCCGGTCATTTCAAATTTTTTCTTTTCGCGCCTTTTTTTAATTCTTTGCTTTCGCGTGACGTTTTAATTTACGTTTCGCATTATAAAAAAAAAAAGAAAAACGAATCCGTTGAATTGATTTAAAGTTACCGTCAGTTCGAAATTTTTTTTTTTTTTTAAATAATTATGTTATAAATATTAAGTAATAAATATTTATGTATACTATGAGAAGACGGAAAGGTAGAAAGAAGAGAAGCAGAAGAAAAAAAAAAAAACAACTCACTCGCGAAAGTAATAAATATGCGTAATAAAAAAATGATGATGAAAAGTTACCTGTAATTTAAAAAAAAACTTTAAATAAAAATTAAAGGTCGTATTTTGGGTATAAAATGAAAATGAAAATGTAATAAAGTATAAAACTTGATTTTTTTTACATCGTGAAAAATATCATCATTATCATCATCATTATTATCATTATTATTATTATTATTATTATTATTCGTGAGCCGTTAAAAAGTGTCGGTTAATTTAATAATAAACGAATAATGATGTCAATACCATCATCGTAAAATAAAATAAAATAAAATAAAAAAATTTTATTTATTAACTAATTACTTAAATGACGTCATAAATTATTAATTAATGATAATAATAATAATAATAATAATGTGTGAACCTGGGAGTACATTGTAAAAACTATAAATAAATTTTTCTTTTCTTTTTTTTCGGTAATTTGACGTCATTTAAAAAAAAAATTGAGTAAAATTATTTTTAGTTTGACACGACTAACCTCTTGGCTAGGTAGTAACTTATTTTTTTGAGTATAATTTTTTTTTTTTTGAAGCGTCAGATAATATTTTATGTATTTATTAATATAATAATAATAATAATAATAATAGGAACGTGAGTAATAACTTTATTATTACCCGTAATATTTACTCACGTTCGTCATTTTTTTTTCCTTTCTCGCACGAACGAACGACAGAAAATTTAAAAAAAAAAATTTTTCCGACGGATTAATTTTTGTGATAAGAAGGAAGTTTTTTCACTGATAAGAAAAACCGTTACGAACGAATAAGTTTATGTAAACAAAAAATAAAACGAATGGAAAATAGTTAACGAGAAAAACGTACGACAAAAAAAAAAAAAAACAATGACAATATTTCATTTGGAAACAATCCTCAACAACGACGACGTCGTTTCACGATTGTTATTGTTACTGCCATCATCACGTGGATGATGATGACAATAAAAAAAAAATAATAATAATAATAACAAGAAGAAAACGAAGGCGTGCTGTAAACTGAAAAAAAAAAAAAAATTCGAGAACGAAGTCGTAACTATGATGATAATGATTATGTGATATTGACCGAAAGGATTTTTCAGGTACTTCATCAGCTTTCGAATCCCTCCGAGGAAAAAAAAATAAATAAATGACTTGGAGGAATTTAAATGACGGATAATTTAAATGTTTCTCTCTCTCTCTCTTTCTCTTTCTCCTTCTTTCTCTCTGACTTTTTGTTAACAGATATTCCATCATTTTTATTTATTTTACTTTTTTTTTGATGGAAACTTAAGGAACCGCAATAATTTAATTTAAAAAAAAAAAAAAGAGACTTAACTCTACCTAATTTCACGTAAATTATTTAATAATAATAATAATAATAAATTTAATAATATTGTGACGTCAATTAATCAAAGAGTAAATAATGTTAATGATGATTTTACGTTAAGAAAAAAAAAAATTTTATGGATAAATTATCGAAGTGAAAATTGATAAGATTCGTATTGTTGTAATGCGTTCGAATCGAATTCGAAAAATTAAAAATGATAATTTTGTCCAGAGAGAAAGAGAGAGAGAAAATAAATTTTGAGTAGAAAAATTTTTTTAACTTAAGGCAACAAGACGAAATCGAATAAAGATAAAAAATGTCGGTTAATGTTTGTGCATACGTGATGATAAATCATCATCATCACCAAATCGATTTAAAAATGATTTTATTAAAAGAAAATTAACAATTATTCAATTTCCTCACCCCCCAAATCCCTCCCTAAAATCGTTCAGGCAAATTCCGAAAAAAAAATTTTTTTTTTGTTACGATAATAACAACTTATCTTCTTCTAAACAAACATGGCGCCATTTTTAAATTTTCTTTTTTAAAATTTCATATAAACAAAAAAAAATAAAATAAAATAAAAAAAAGAAGGAAATTATTAATAATTAAATCAATTATTTTATTTAAATTTTTCATTTTTTTTAAAAGTTATTATTATTATTATCATTATTATTATTTTTCTTTATTATTAAAATTATACGTTACGGGTGTCTTATCATTTTTTTTTTGATTTGTTTAAAAAAAAAAAAAAAGACGAAAATTTTTTTTTTTTAAATTGTGAATTACGATGTTAATGTTATAATCATCAATTTTTTTTTTTTTTTTACGATACGCTATATAATTTAACAAAACTTGCGTATAAAAAATTTTTTTTTATTTTTTAACCTATTACTTACTAAACTAAAAGTATTATTTAAATAATAATAATAATAAGATAAATATGGCGGCGCCTACGGTAAATTCGTCAGACGATCTTTATTAAAATTTTTTCCTGTCTTTTTTTTTTTCATTAAACTTTCCCAGAAAAAAATTTATTTGAATGAAGTAAATGAAAAAAAGAATTCGAAACAGTGGCGAGAGATAAGAGAGATAGAGAGAGAGGGGGAAGTTGCAAAAGGTAAAACCTACCCCCCCCCGAATTAAAATAAATAAATGAATAATTTTTTCAACGGTTAATAACAAACAAGAGAGAGACGTTACTTTAAATCATTTAAATAAATTTATCAATTCTCTTAATTACGTAGAAAATTTTACGACGGCGGGGAGGGGACCGCAAGGCGAGGAATAAAAGGGAAGAGGAGGTTGGAAGGAATTTTTGTGTGCGTTTAAAATTTTTTCAGTTTTGTAAACGCGTGATCGTCACGCGGTTTCGAGTTTTACTAAATTTTGCGTGCGATTTTCTTTTTTTTTTTGCAGACGGAAAAAGTAAAAAAAAAAATTTTGTTTTTTTTTTGTTTTTCAGGTTGTTGTCAGATTGTTGATCGATGGGATTAAACTTGATTGAAAACTGGAACGAACGGGAACAAACGAAAAAAAAAAAGAGACGAGATTAAATGGGATGAAGGAAAAGGGATAGAGAGAGAGAGAGAGGGAGTAATAATTATTAAAAACCGTCGCCGAACATCAAGTTAAATTTACCATAAAATTTACCGCAGTAATAAAATCAATAATTTTTTTTTTTTTTTTTTTAACAATTGAAATTAATTAATTAATTTTTTTAAATTAATGAATGAAACTCTCAAATTTTACACGTCGCGTCCATATTTTAAAAAAATAAAAAAAAAAAGAAATTTTTCTTTACTTAAAAACAACATCACCACCTTTTCCTCGTATGTATACACAATTTCCTACTCTGCGTTTTCCTTCATTCACATCCACAAACGAACACGCACACAC